TTGTTATGACAGCCTGAGCAAATTAATACACCATCTAACTTGTAACCTGGAAACAACCAAATCCTGGTCAATTGTGACAACACCTGTCCAGAAGAACATCTGGCATGTGGTCAAGGGCCAATTATGTTGGGAAGGTTTAATAAATAGCTCTCTTTTACTGTTTCATGGAATGAAAAGGAACTGTACTATAACCATTGTGTGATACGGTATAACGTTAGCACTGCTGGTAAGATTGAATTACCTTATGTAAATAAGTCCTGTAATACAGATATTGATAATTATATATATTGGAAAATTTAATTAAAGCCTCCTCAGGATGTGACATCAATGGAAAATGATTGGCTTTAGGAGGAATTAGGTCTAGTTCGGCATCAGTTAATTAATATGCTAAACAGTTCTACATAAGTTTATTATAAAGTACAAATAATGGTAGACCAAGGGAAGAAACAATCAAATTAATACAAAATTATGATGTATATAATGGCTTTATAGGATGGATTAAATGCTTCTTCAAGTCTATCCCTATCTTGAACCAGCTCCTCCAAATGTTGGACATACTAATGCTAATGTTACTACATCTGTTAAATAAATGCTATACTAAATGTAGGCACTCAGAAAAATACAATAGTTTTCCTTTAAGTGAGCCTGGGCCGAGGAGCAGGAGGTGGACTTTACAGGAAAAATTGACTCAGCAGGTCTGAGTTGCTCAAACTTTGCACATTCCTAGAAGGGTCTGTTTTCATGAATAGCCCTTGTTCAGCTACTGAGAATTGAGGCCTTAGAATGTTCTAATTGATAAAATTGTTTTGCATACTTGGAGCTTTGAACCACACTTAGCTAATTACATAGTCTTTGTAAACAATGTGATTTATAGGGAACACGTGCTTTCCCTCTGGTGGTATGTTTTGGTAACTGCAATGATTGCATGTAGGCACTATGTGCCTATGTGACTAAACTCCAATAAAAACTCTGGAATCTTAAGCTCCAGTGAGCTCCCTGGTAGACTACACTTCACACATGTTGCTACAATTTGTAGACAGAGGAATTAAATGCATCCTGTGCAATTCCACTGGGAAAAACCTCTTGGAAGCATACATCTGGTTTCTTCCAGACTTTGCCCCATGTGCCTATTCCCTTTGCTGATTTTGTTTTGCATCCTTTTGTTGTAATAAACCATAACCATGAATGTAATGGCTTCTGGGTCCTATGAGTCCTGAAGATGGTCTTAGGGATTCCTGACATAGGTACACTAGAAAATATACAATTAATGTAAAAGAAGGCAGCAATGGAGATAAAAGACATAAGAAAACAAATAGCAAAATGACGGATGTAAATCCTACCTTATCAGTCATCACATTAAATGCAAATGGAAGAATAACAGCAGACTTCTCATTGAAGAAATGCAAGAAAGACAGTGAAGCAGCATCTTTAAAGTACTGCGGGAAAAAAGCTGTCAACCTAGAATCCGATAACAGTGAAATGTCTTTCAAAAGTGTAAGTGAAATAAAGACTTTTTCAGACATACAAAAGCTGAAATAATCCATTACTGGGAGATCTGCCTTACAAGAAATAGAACGGAAGTCCTTCAGGTAGAAGGAAAATAATACCTGATGGAAATCTGGATCTACACAAAGAAATAGAAAGCACCAAAAATGTTAAATATATGGGTAAATAAAAATGACCCTTTATCCTTATTTTTTATATCTCTTTAAAAGATAAATGTTGAAAGCAAAAAATAACAATATATTATGAGGTTTAACATGTGTAGAAAAGGTATGACAATAATCACAGAAAGGCTGGGGAAGGGGGAATAGAAGTACATTGTTTAAGTTCTTATATCATACTTAAAATGGACTGTGATAAAGATGTACATTATAAACTCTAAAAGAACCACTAAAAGAACAAAGCATAAATAAGCCATCAAGAGATAAAATAGAATCATAAATAATACCCAATTAATCCAAAAGAAGGCAGAAAGAGAGAAAAAAAGTGAACAAAGAACAAATAGAAAGCAAATAGCAAGATGGTATATTTAAAACTAATCATATCAATAATCACATTAAATGAAAATGGTCTAAACATCCCAATTAAAAGGCAGAGACTGTCAAATTGGATAAAAAAGCAAGACTTGACTTGTAGGCTACCTACAAGAAACTCATATTAAATATAAAAACAAATATAGGTTTAAAGTAAAAGGATGGGAAAAGATATGCCACATTAATACTATTCAAAAGAAAGCTGGAATATTTATATTAACATCAGCCAAAGCAGATTTCAGAACAAAGAATATTAATAGATTACTAGGGGATGTTTCATAATGATAAAGGGTCAATCCATCAAGAGGACATAACAATCCTTAAAGTTTATGTACCTAACAACAGAGCTTCAAAATACATGAAGCAAAAACTGATAGAACTGAAAGGAGAAACAGACAAATCCAAAATTTTAGTCTGAGATTTCAACATCCATCTCCCATAGAACAAGTAGACAGAAAATCAGCAACAAAATAGAAGACTTGAAAAGCACTATCAACCAACTTAACGTAAGTGACATCTATAGAACACTCCACCCAAAAACAATGGGATATACATACTTTTCAAGCACACACAGAAGATTTACCATGAGAGAATATATTCTGGGCCATAAAACAAATCCAATAAATGTAAAAGGATCCTTTCTCACTGAACAGGGCCAGAATAAAAAAAAATTAAAGGATTCAAATCATATAAAATATATTCTCTAACCACAATGGAATTAAATTAAGAAGAAATAGCAGAAAGAAATCTGTAAAATCTTATAAATATTTGGAAATCAAATGACACACTTCTAAATAACCCTAGGTCAAAGAAGAAATAAAAAAGGAAATGAAAAAGTACTTTGAAATGAATGAAAATGAAAACACAACATATCAAAATTTGTGAGGTACGGGCCAACCCTGTGGCTCACTCAGGAGAGTGCAGCACTGGGAGCGCCGAGGCCGTGGGTTCGGATCCTATATAGGGATGGCTGGTGTGCTCACTGGCTGGGCGCAGTGCGGGCGACACCAAGCCAAGGGTTACGCATCCCTTACCGGTCACAAAACAAAACAAAACAAAACAAAAATTTGTGAGGTACAGCTAAATCAATATATATAGGAAAATTTATATCATTAAATGCTTATATTACAAAAGAAGAAATGTCTGAAATCAAAATGTGGTTCCCAGACCAGCAACATCAGCATCATCTGGGAACTTCTTAGAAACACAAATCCTTGGGCCCTAACCCAGACCTACCAAATCAGAAAGTTTAGGGGTACACAGCCCAGCAGTCTGTGGCCCTCCATTATTCTGATGCACATTCAAGTTTTGAGAACTACTGCTGTATATTATTTGAGGGTCAATTTTATTGTGCTAGGGATTTTTCTTCTATAAGAAGTCTACACAGGGCCGGCCCGGTGGCGCACTGCTACAGTGCGCCACTTGGGAGTGCGGCGGCACTCCCGCCGAG